TAATAATAATAATAATAACAATAATAATAATAATAATAATAATAATAATAATAATAATAAAACATCTGTTTCTGGACAAAATGTCTCTAAAACTGAAGATGGCGATGTTTAAGATGGAAAACATCTGCAATAAAAACCCTTTTCAAGTTAGAATAAAACTATCTGCAAGACTAGATGCTTCAATTTTTTTGTGGAAATTCTGTTCAAGGTTGGAAAGAAACAGCAGAGCAGCTTTTACTTAAAACATTTATTTGATCCAATTCTTTGGAATGTAATAGTCAATGATGAGAGTCTGAGACAACAGAGACGGATGAGTCTGGGTGCTGACCAGAAAGTCAAAGTACAAACAATACTTTTAGTCACATAAGGCCTCACTGCTTCCCAATTTGTTTTACTTCCTTCTTTCCTTTCTTGTTTTCTTTTCTTTTTTTTCTGGATTCGAGACGGCAAAATTACAGAAACTCTTCTGAAAATAAAACATTTTTCTTGTCATACAAAGAAAAGAAAAATAATAAAACAATGGCACGTACATCAGTGACAGTACAAAAACACAAGGTGATATTATACCAAGTAAATAAAACTGTTACGCTTCAAAGAGACGCATATAAGCTTTTTCGAGAATGAAAAACATCTCTGTAAATTGTACATTTCAGAATTATAACGTTGTCATCTGAAACCGTGTTAAAAAGAAGCAACAATAACACTGTCCTCTCCTTTCTCTCTTTTCATAAATCAACATCATAAACACATAGATTTTTTTTTTTTTAAATATATCAGTGCAACATTTGTTTTCACGTCGAGTGCTGCAGCATCCTTTCTCGAGCTTAATCGGCTGAAACATCACAAACACATTCTTGCCGGGCTGAAGGTAAATTTGGAAACCCACAATCTTTAACATTTTAGCAAAACAAAATCTACAAGTTGGCTTTTAAGAGAAAATTATGAGCATCTCAACAGTCTGAGTGCCTTCATTTGATTGAAAATGAAACAAGATGAGTAGATTTAAATTAAGTCCAATGAATAAGTGGATTTCTTTCTTTTTCTTGTTTTTTTTTGGTTGTTGTCTTAATGGAAAGAACTGATGCTTATGTGACATTTGGACTCATGTGATGCCACGTAATGCTACATTAAAAATGGGCAGATTTAAAGTCCACGGTGCAGTAAAATAGCAGATAAGTGGAAATATGTCAGTCTATCATACCTATTTAATGGCTTTTTAAATATTGTAGGTTCGATATCTGCAGTTAGTAAGAACTTACGAACATATAACATCTGTCGGAGGTTGACTGGTTGGTGACGGATGAAATTTCTGGCTTTAAAATCTTAGTCCTTCCATCTAAACTGTGCTATGAACGAGTGACCAGCATCACAACATGTGTAGCTACAAAAACAAAAACACAGCAAAGCAGTATTATTAACACAAGACTTCCTGTTCTTGCAATTTCTGACAGAAAATATGCAAAGTTTGCTCTTCACAGACTCCAAAGTTGACTCCCAGTAAAAGAGCAACTCCAGATTACAGTAAATAAGGTCATTTTGTAAGAAAATGCTCCTGAAAACTAAAATAAAATTAGTGAAACGGGGATAAAATGCAAAACGAGCAGCAGAATTCCACAAAAACAACACAAAGAAGTGTGAAAAGCTGCATGTTTGTACTGCAAATGAATATTTAAAATCCAATTTTCACCAGTTTTTAACAATCAAAGCAAAGCAAATAACCCTTTGGTCTCTGCTCTGATTAGCTCGTGACACCTTAACTTCCAGGCCACCGTAGCTCGAGGCTCAATGTTTCTGCAGTTAGTCACCTGTGGGGATGTTAAACAGGATTTAGCTTCAGAGAGAACGTCCTGACGCAGTACAACGCAGTCACGGCATCCAGACGCCTCCTTATCCTGCAAGCTCCTTAAAAGACGCTGAGAGACACTTTAAGTCCTTCTTGTGGCTCCCAGACCGCCGGACACACCTCTGGTTAAAGGTTCAGCAGTCCCTTAGTGTCCCGGTGAGGAGCAGCAGAAAATAATCACAATGAACCGTCCTCGAGTCGTCTTCCCAGTACTGAGGTTGTCCTTTTTTTTTTTTACCCTGTACGAAAAAACTCCTCCAAACTGAAACCACACAAAACTCCCAAGACGGCGATCAGGTCGGAAAGAAACAACAGGTGTCTCTGTTTTTCTGTACATTTTCAGAATTTAGAGATTAAGGGTGAGTTTGATTCCAACTTAGAAAGGATACTGCGGCACTGGTGTCTTTTTCTATAGAAAAGGGCGCTCAAATATATTAAAACCTATGTACAATATGTTGGATGTGTCATGTGCCATGAAAAATGAGGCATTCAGGGCTCCTACACACTTCTGAAAATCACATACGTTTCCAGAATCTGAACTCTGATTTCAACAGTTTAGTTTGTGTCAGTACGACTGTCATGAAGGCATGAGGATCTACAGATCTACACTAACACGTGTGATATGTGACAGCACGCTACAACACAAAGGAATTTGCAGTTTCATAATCGCAGCCTGGAAAAGCGAATGTTTCCTGTGTAGAAACCCTGGATGGAACGCCAGCCGATGGGAAAACAACCAGCAGAAAACAAGGCAACAGAAAAATTGGAGGAAAAAAAAGGCACTGTCGGAACTAGACGCAGGTCAACGGGCTGCTACCCGCTTCACACACACACACACACACACTGCATGTATACAGATAAACATGAGTGAAACGCACACACACACACACACACACCAGCTGAACATACACACCCTAAATGCAGATGTATATGAGTGTGACACATGTACACACACACTTTCACGCGCTCTCACAAGGCCAACTAAAGAGCCAGATATCAGAATAGCAGACTTCACAATGGCGTCTGAAAGAAAGAGACAAGAAAAACGACAACAAAACAACAAAATCTTATCTTTCCGTAAAAGTACATAAACTGTCATCTGAATTGGTCTCAACACCAGCATGTGATTACATGAAATCAACGAAGCACGCCGAAAAACAAATAGAATCCTTAGTTGTCTTCTTGTTTTTTCTGTTTTTTTTTTGTTTGTTTTTTTTTGCTGTACAGATTCTTTTATACACAGTGCCCCCCCTACAGGTCAGTCCACTTCCACTGCCGCTCCTGAGAAATAAAATTACATCGGCTCGCTCTCAGCCCACCCTGCCGTCCCATTGGTGGCCTCAGCCCTGCGTTTCCTCTCCCTTGATTGGCTGCATCAACGTGTCCACGCGGAGCAATCGCAGCTCCGTGCCTCCGTCCCACTCACGCCTCTGAGTAGTTAGTCTGTCCGTTCATCTTGTCCTTCTTTAGCTTCACGCCGTCCACCAGCTCAAAGTTATAGTTTTCCAGCGCAGATAAGTTCCTGTCCGTCATGCTGCCCTGCGAGCAGGCGCAGTACAGCACGACGCCGCAGATGGCGCCCAGGAAGACGCCCAGCGCCGACATGGCGATGATGGTGATGAGGATGGGGTCCAGCGTCTTCAGCATGTTGCCTGGGCCCCCCAGTTCACTGGTCTCCTGGGACAGGGAGTCCATGGCTGCAAGGAGGAGAAATGAGGTTTAATTCAGTGTTTAGACCTCATGCCGGTGGTTTAACAGTTTAAACTAGACATTGCAGAATTTCTTACTACGTCATGCATGTTTGTTTATGTGTCAAAACAATAATTAGATCATTTAAGTTTTAGAAACAGATAAACCAACTAAAGCAAGAGCAACTGAAAGGCCCGTACATGTACAGAGTATATACTTATACTATATAGTATTGCACAGTATAATATAACTTAGTATATATATCATAGTATAGCATAATGTAGCATAGTGTAGTATAGTGTAGTGTAGTAAAGTATAGTAAAGCAAAGCAAAGTATAGCATAATATAGTATAATATAGTACAATACAGTATAGTATAGTATGATATAGTATAGCACAATATAGCAAAGTATAGTGTAGTATAGTGTAGTATAGTATAGTATAGTAAAGCAAAGCATAGTGTAGTATACTATACTACACTATGCTTTGCTTTACTATACTATATAATACTATACTATACTATCTATATTATACTATAGTGAGCAAAGTATATTATAGTATAGTATTATATAGTATAGTATAGTATAGTATAGTATAGTATAGTATTATATAGTATATCATAATATGGTATAGCATTGTATAGTGTAGTATAGTATAGTGTAGTATAGTATAGTATAGTATAGTATAGTATAGTATAGTATAGTATAGTATAGTATTATATAGTATATCATAATATATTATAGCATTGTTTGGTGTAGCATTGTATAGTTCAAGACTGGAAATAAATGTAACAAATGTGCAACAGATATATGTATTAATTAGCTGAAATACAGAATTCCCCTGGCACAGTTCTTCAAAGTGTTTTAAAAAAGCATGCAAACACATGTGTGATTCTTATTGTGGCATCAATTTAATTTTTTTTGCTGCCATCTGAAGAACTATTTGGCAGATTTTTATTTTTTATTTTTGCACACAGCAGCTCAGGACCAGCCACAAGCAGTTACATCATTTCTGGCAAATAGCTGTGCATTTGACTAACAAGGCAATTATGACAACTTCACTGTGTTGATGCAGAAAAAACCATGTGAAGAACCGTGGAGATCTGCCCAGTGTACATAAGAGTATGTACTGTGAGAAAATGACACTATGGTGACGGTGCTTACGCAAGATGAAGATCTCAGTCGGTGGAGACGTCGGAGCTTCTGGATCTGGATTCAAAAAGCAGAGTTTCTATTAGAATAAAAGCTGAATAAAACACCATAACATGAATTATGTCATGTCCTGGTTGTTTGAGCATGCAACATACTGCAGGAGCATTTTTGTTAGTATTCAGTACTTTGTTGAAGATTTTTACATTTCGACAGCAATCAATAAATCAAGTTTTATATCTTAAAAGTGCTGCATAGAATGCTCTTGTCTGCTGCTGACACATCTTAGACATCATGAGAACAATACAAACTAGAGCAGCAACAAATGTTTATTTTCTTGTTGATTATTCAGTCAGTTATATTTGTGATTTATTAATTAACAAAGCCTCAGATGATATCCTCAAATATCGTGTTTTGACTAAAACTCAACAATATTCAGTTTACTGTCTCCAGACTCGGAGAACAGCTGAAGACTGACTTGACAATTAATTGATTACAAGTTGTAACTCAGACTAAAAGTAAATGCAAGCTTTCTGAAGAACATCTACGTTAGTCAGAATTTATTTTGAAACTGTGATGTATTTATTTTTAGTTTTATGTTTTCACAATCCCCTCTTGCACCATCTAGCTTCATACAACATCCACCACTGAAACACTCACCTTTGCAGTCCTCAGCAGTGAATCCATCCAGGATCTGGATGTTGTCCACAGCTATGTGACCTGCACTGCGCCTGTCTGCTACGCCTTCCACCACCACCTGCAAGAAACAACATGCACTCACTCAGGCAGCAGCTCGAGACACTAAAAAACTCCCAAATCATGTATTTTAGTGGACATTTAAAGGTGCAAATCCACAAACACAAACAAATAAGTAGATTTTCTGAGAGTCTAGTGGCAACACCACTGCCTTCTCTCTCTGCTTTTGCTCTACAAAAAATACAGACCAAAAAAAACAAATAGTTTTAAGGGTCAGACATGCCCCAAGGAGCTGTGAGACAAATATGGAAAGTTGAGACATGAATAAAGTAATACTGAAGATTTTTTTTTTTTTTTACATTTAACTCAGTCTTTGCTTTTTCTTGGTTTAGTTTCTAGTTTTATCTCTTCTGGCCTTAAAACTTTGATGAAATGAAGCAGAATAAGTAAATATGTCTAGTAGTACACAGTGTTTAACAGTCAAAGGCCAAAAAAGTTTGGAAATAACTTTCTTACTTTGTTCGTTCTACTTCCTTGATAAAGACAGGTTTTCATTTTTACACTTTCAACACAAATTAATCCTGTTTAAGGCCAGAGCCAATCCCAGCATGCACTTTGCAAGAAAAGGCCACACGTTTATCACAGGGAAATGTAGAGTTTCTAAATTCCAGCTGTTCCCACTGGGCATGTTTTTGTCTTTTGACATAAATACTTTGGATCTTCGTGCTCTAAGGTGACACATCAAACCTCACTTTAGGAGCTCAGTGCTTTTATTACAATTTTGTTGTTTTGCGACCTCTTTCTTAAGCTTTATGAAGTTCTTCATGTCAGTTTCCAGCTAAACAACAGCTCCAACTTGATTTAAATCTCTGAAACTTTAAACCCATCAGGAGTTTTTTTGGTTTCTTTTTCTTTTTCTTTTTTATCTGTTTTGAAACAAAAATGCCAAAATGACACTATTTGCAATAAACTGCAAAAACTGAAAAAATCTGCAGCGTTTCAACTCTCCAAGGGCTATGAAACTACTGACATGGGTTGTTGCAGGTCTATGCTTAAAATCAATGAAAAGTTCCCCCCAAAAAGAAAAGTGTTAAAAAGAAAAAGGCGTCATAGCACCTGTGGAGCCTCCAGTGACTTAGCTGCAAACAACAGTCGTGCAAAAATTCAAAAACTTTTCAGCTGAACTGCAGACTGTGTTCACAAAAAGACACAAGCATGGAGAGAAATTAAAAATGTAAGCAGTAAACTACATATTCTGTAGATTCACCATTTGGTCCAGTGTTGGTATCACCTGTAGACACCTGAAAACTTTTGTACACATTAATTCAAACCTTTTAAAACTTTACTAAAATACATAAATAAATAATAAAAAAAACCAAGTTGTATTTTTTTAAATAAAGATTTACAGCATTATAATAGACATTTCTGAGTTCTCTCAACCTCTGGCCATGCTTTGGTTGGTTCCACAGAAGAGCAGAGAAAAAAGAGCCCACAAAGATGTGACAGGAGCAAAAAAACAAACAAACAAACAAACAAAAACACCCAGAAACTGCTGAGGTTACAGAAAGAAAAACTCTCTCGCTGGAGAAGGAAGAATCTAAACATGACAATAAACTTTCTAAAATTCTGAAATACAAATCATCACCTTTAGCCGCCATTTATTGTTATTTTTAGTGGATAGAAGGAGAAAAAAATGAAAGAAAACCAATTCCAATACACATTCTCACATGCTGCTGTCATTTCAAGTTAAAGGGACCCTGTGTTACCTGGTATGAGAGGCTGGAGTGAGGCAGCAACACTCGGCCTTCCCTCCACCGGTTGCCCTGGTGGCCGCTGACCGTCCACAGGATCTGGCCTTCCTCCGCCTCCCGCCGCTGCTTGATGTGAAGCGCTCCGGCGTGCTCACCGAACATGTGGTACCAGAAGGACATGCACAGGTCGGTGTCCGGGGAGGTGATGGGCAGGCTGTCCAACCTCGCCACCTTCTCCTCCTCGTCCTCGTCCTCGCCGGTTTTACTCGGTAGATCTGAGTCCATCAGCTGCATGTAGATGAAGTTCCCAGGTCCGCCTGCAGGGGGCAGCAAAGGACAAGGTAAGAAGTGACTCTGACAGCTTGTCTCCACATAAGTGCTGATCTTTTAAATACTCAGTTACACTATGAGATCTTAAATAATATAAAAAGACAGCCAGTAAGACTGCTTTCTGTACATTTCTAACAGAAATCAGGCTTTAATATGATTGAGAGCGAACTACTGTGACAGTAAAGAGTTCATTCTACACTCACTTTATCGCTAAATGTCCCTAATAGAGTGTTTCTCTTTTTCATAGAATAAATACTTTAGAATATTCAAGTGTCACAAGCTCCCAAAGACATCAAATTCAAGGATTTCAAAAGGTTTCTTGGTGAAAACAAAAGGACTCTGCACGCTTCAGGGGAAAAATCTGACTCGACATCACACAAAAAAAACTCATTTTTTATTTGTGATCCGGTTAAGTCAAGAAATCAAGGTGAAATCATTCATTTTAGAGCTGCTGCTGTCTCCACAAAAACATCCATCACATCCATCAGGCTGGAATGGAGAGAAGGCCAGAGAACCGAGGCGTGTTGATGAATTTCAGCGCCGTGTTTCTTTTTCGAAAAGTCGTGGATTTCAGGGCCATTTATTCGTTGTCTAAATCTTTTAAAGCTTATAACGTCCACACGTCCTCCCCACTTCTATTCAGTGCTGAATACTTATCACGGTGAATAGAGTTTGCTGCTGTGAATGATGGATGTTTGAAGATGTTTGTATGTATAAATGACATTCTATTCACAAGTTTTCTAAGAGTATTTCTGTCTAATTCAGATTTTGTGGCATTTCTTTGTGATCTATTGGTAACCCATTATTATTGTTGCTTGAGGATATTCAGACAAAGAGAGTTTTAATAATAAAAAAGGCAAGATATTGATTCCCTCGCTTATTCATGCTAAGATAAAGTTGTGCAGTGGCTTCAGTTTGAACTTTCACTGAAGGTTTCAGGCAAATGTCCAATAAAAAGACAATTTCTGTTTGAAAAAGACACGTAATTAATACCCAAGGATGTCCTTAATTTTAATCTCGCCTCTGTTTATCTTATTAAACATGAAAAACAGAACGAAACAGAAGAATCTGGGGCTACTTGCCCATATTTATGTTGGTAAGTATCCAAGTCAGAATGAATGTCACACATTTCTCAAGTGTTTTTCTGCTTTTTTTTTTTTTATCAGTGTAGTCCAAGTTATGGAAAGGTCTGCTTTTCTATCTGCACTTTCTGAATACGCATATCCAATTGAGTGGCTCCAGGCTCTATATAAGCATGTCACCACACTCAGTATCAGGCAAACTTTTTGTCCTCCACAGCAGAGATAAGTTACGATGTCCAACAGGAACTTCTCTTAACATCCCAGACATGTTCTTTCTCATTTCTATAAGCAGAAAATGCAGTAGGTGCTGTTATGAATTCCCAGCAGCTCAGTCAGTGTGGAGAGTTATTTAAAGCTTTGTTAAAAATATTCCAACTTCTAGCACAAGAGCCTTCGACAGACTTTTCAACAGCTGCATGGTAACATCGAGAGCTACCGAGTGCTCTCCCAAAGCATCCGCTGAGTGCCGCTGGCTCAAAAACGACCCTTGAACACAAAGGTGATGGGACGTCTCCTACCTGTGTGGTCCAGGGTCGGTCCTCTGTGGACGGCAGGAGCCGTGTTGGTCTGGATGAGCCACTCTGCTCCAGTGCTGGACTCTCTGGTCCAGCCGCAGAACGACGAGAAGTCAAAGTTGCAGGCAAACCACAAGTAAGCTGCGGCAAAGAGACAAAAACTGCTGTCAGAAGCTACAAAATGTTACTGATGAACTGCCTGAATTATTAATCAGTCCTCTAACCGTGACCTCTGTGCTGTCACAAAGCAACAAAATTCAAGCAGGTATAGAAGTCAGCAGTCCACTCAGCACCCTTTTTCAAACAGCAAGTCCAACGTCATGAAACCCTCAGTAGCTTCCTACCTGCCAACATTGTTAATTAAGTTTTGTTTTGTACTTTTCTCCTTTCCCTGTTCCCTATCAGCCCATCGACCTGCTTGAAGCTCTGCTCTGCATGCTACATTAAGATTTGTGAAATATTGGATCTGCTTGTAAGACTAACACACAAAAGACACCAGAAGCGATGTGGTGACCAGAAATCATGGAAAGTCAATGAAATTTGGCGACCCATAGCAATGACAGGTGAGATAATCATAGGTGACGTGAACTTGGACAGGTACCATGTTAAATTACCAATGGGACAACCAGTACCACCAATGGGACAACCAGTACCACCAATGGGAGCGAAGGTTGGTTGGTTGACTTATGACGTCTACATGTTTACTACAAGGAAACAACCTCCATGTCTTTGGTTCCTATGACTTCAGCATCAAAATCAAGAGGACCTAATCAGCGTTGTCTCCAATAAACCCAACCTGGGCAATGAAGAGTTGACTGTGTGGGTGAGTTAGTTGTGGAGACCTGCTCGGTTCTAACAGTCAGTGATAGTGTTTACTTGTGTTCATCTCAGACAGGTGGGCTGCAACTCACAGTCACAGTTTTACAGTGAAATCCTCTGTTACACAAGCTGAGCTCTGAGCTTCACCACAGCTGTCCAGATCTTCTTCTAATGTGCCTAAAAGACAGATCCGTTCACTAACGTCTACTGACACAGGTATGGGTGACGCAAAAGAAATGAAGCGTAGTGAACTATCATTTCTGAAGCATAGACTAGTCATGTACAAAGGTGTACATAGTCTTCATTATACTTTATACTATCTAGCTGCAGTGTAACGTCTGATATTCTCCGGTGAGGGATCAATAAAGTTTATCTTATCTTATCTTACAACAACATTTGGGGTGGGAAATGTACCACAAGATTACCGAAGCAACTAGAGTCTGGCACATCTGCTTGTAGCCAAATGTCGACTACAAAACGATAGGCGATCATCAGATCATTTTATATGTGGCTTTAGCTGTCTTTGAAGCACAATACCAGGTAAATGTGTTAAAATAGTTCTATAAGCAACCTTTAGGAAGTAGCTACCATTCAATTAAATTCCAAGTATGTTTATGAACTGATGCAGGACGTCCGCTCTTGTAAAAACCATCCACAGCCCAATCAAGTGCTGCAAGAAGTTCTTAAAAATGCTGCTATGTTGGGAAAAAAAAGGCTAAAAACTCTGATCCTATGCTGCTTTCACTGCTTCATTTAGAGTCGGATCAGACAGCCTGAAGAAAAGAAGTACAAGTCTTGTGGCATCATTATCAGAAAGCTGTTCCTGCTGCACTCATAGTATAAACTGTGCATCGCACCATGAAACAGGCCTGTGCAGATGGACCGGGGGTGAGCAAGACAGAGTTGTGATTGTATACGTTGCATGGTGCTGCAGGGCATTTTCCTCAGCGAGAAACAGAAGACGAAGACGTCACTGCTGATAGAAAACAGTGTTACATATGTTTGGGATCAGCTCTGAAGAATGGAGGGACCTTCCACGGAGGAGGGCGGGGTGCCACCAACATCAGCGGATGTGGCCCCTGAAGAAACCCCAAACAGAAAAAAAAGAGAAAACAACCTCCCTTATCCCACGTCGGTGCCAGCAGTCGACTGGCGACAGCGGTTCACCACGGCATCCAAATAAATGCGGAAATTTTCCGAATAGTGGACGCGTTGTTTCTGCGAAGCTAATAGGATGCAGAGATGACCGTGGAGCTGCACGGTAACATCCCCCCACCTCCAAGCCTCCAACCCCGAGCTGTCTTCACGCGATGCTTCAGCTCAGCTAATTGAGACCCAAGAGGGCTCTATTCTTTCTCTGCAGTTCTCACTACGCCTCCCTCCATTCCTCTCTTTATTTTACCTTCCTTTCTCTTCATGCCTCTTCAGCCTCTCATCTCTATTCACTCCTTCCTGCTGGCTTCCCCTGCTCTTTATTCCTCTCTGTCACGGCTGCCATTTTTCTACCTTTCTGCCTATTCATTCCTGCTCCTTCTCCGGCCGGCTGTTTACTCCAAATGAGTTGAATTTGGTGCATTCACAAGGGATGATAAACTGTGACACAGTGCTAAAAAAACCCCTGCTATAAATGACCAAAAACAAAAGCTCTGCGTTTGGCTTTGAATGTGTTCAGGATCAATGTGTTTTTATGCAGCAACACCTGCAGTTAGTCCTCAGCGTCATGCCGTGTGTCTAATACTTTCCCACCATGTCTCCCAGCTTTCCTTTTCCTGCTGTTGCACCCACTTTCATAAAATACAGCGCTACTTTCATGCAGAATTAATAAGATCATGAGTTTGAACCTCAGATGCCCCGAGGCACATTTAACTTGTTGTCTCTTATTAATGGGACACTATGATTTAATTGTTGCCAGATAAAACTGAAGGGAAAATATATTTATGCTGCATAAATTATTTAGCTGCTTTTTCACCTTTTTCTTTTTAGACCTTTAAAAAATGCTCTAAATCAGGCAGTCTAAGAGAGACAAAGCCTCTTTTGTTACGACGAGGGCTATAAACTTTGAAAAGGCGTTTCAAGTGGACATGTCACATAACCACAATGCCATAAATATCCTTTTGTTTTTGCCTAAATACACTTTTTTTCCCACTGTTTGGTCTCTTTCCCTGCGCTCTTAACGTAGGATATCTTTATCTCTCTTTTCTCCCTCAACTTGTCTCCATTTGTCTTCTTCTTGCAGTTCAATTCAAACCGGATTTACGGGCAAATCAGATGGAAAAACAGTGTAGAAAACAAACAAAAAAAAAATACTGCAGATGCGTTTAATAGCAAATCTATCAGCCTCTTCTCTCAGCGGCCTCATTTGTGAACTGGGGCGAAGAAAAAGCCATTTAGTCTAATGGCAGTCGGCTTCACTGTTCTTTGTGACTGTGGTCAGTACTGTTGGTGACACTGAATGATGGCACCGCCGGCTGAATTAACGCACTCATCTGGCCTCTATTTCTACAACTGCCTGTGAAACGCTTTGACTTTGAGAGTTTTTTTTTGCAGAGAGGAGTTGGAAAATAGCAGATTGCGGCGGTCGTCCTCACCTGGTATGAAGTCCATGATGGGGTTGCCGACCGTGGTGCCTCCTGCTACAGACAGATGGGACAGTAAAGGTGGAGTCAAAGGCCAGAGAGGTTCGTCCCACCCACACAGATGCCAACACAAACACACCTCCCTTCATGAAAAATCAATACCGAGCTTTTGTGTTCAACAATTCAGTTAGCTGCATTTTTCCCCCCCAGTTAAAGTTCCCCAAGCTCGGAAAACAGGGATAATAGCTGGGTCTGACAGTAAAAGGGAAGATGAAGGAGAATTTGAAACAGGGATCTGGCAATTAAATTTCATTTTTAAAGACGGGCAAATAAATAAAAGAAGTCGAGCACAAAAAAAGACACCATTCAGTGGGTGACAGGGAAGATAAGGGAGAATTTTTCATGATCTCGCTCCAACTAGCTTCCTTTGTGTCAAAATGCAGAATATATACAGTTTTGGTAAACATAAAAGAGAAAACATTTACAGGAGACGGGCTCTATGGCTGTTTCCTTTTTCTGTTTTGAATTCTAAAACTTTTGGAGTGTGCTTTACATGGATGGTGGGAAGTGTTTCTCTGGTTTACCTGTCACTAAGTCAAACTCGTCAGGCGCTTCAGTCTCCGCAACACAATCCTCTCGTCCCTCCTCGCAGTCGGTGGTCAAAGTGGTGCCGGGGACCGTGATGGGTGCCGTGGTGGTCGCACCGAATGTGGTCATGGGAAGCGTAGAGGCGAGTGGTGTGGTGGGAGGTGCTGTAGTGGTAATATCTGAAAATAAAAGATGGAAACGACATATAAGTGATAACAAAGGATAAGGAAAGGGTGTCGACGTAAACATTGTCAAGAACTGTGTTGGATTAAAACTTCAACACTATGAAAGCTGAAGTATTTCTTACTGTCACTGGGCAAAAAATACATGAAAACCCTTCAGAATATTGTGATTCAAGTGATTTGAGAGGAAACTGGCTCGATTTTTTGGCTTTGGAAAATGTATTTGGTCAATCATAGGTCCATCCAAAGAGAGAGCATCACTCGTATTGGTTGTTCTGCAGATGCACCTCTGGCAGCAAACAGCCAGATTCAAATATGGAAAATCATGCAGCAAACATTACTTCAAAGTAGTATATGTGTCCTGATCAAGTTTTTTTTTTTTTGTCCCCTCCCCATTTTCCAGGATAATACACACTTGAAATATTGTAGATTAGCTGTAGTTCTTTGTTGTTCCACCAGCAGGAGCCTCTTAATGTTTAATACTGCAGCGACCAGAGGAGGTGCTCAGTTCTGTGTCAGCAAGCAGAAAGCTTGGAAGTGTAGCGAGTAAAGGAGCACTGTGATAGAGACTTTTATGAGGTTTACTGACGTCGGGTCGGCGAACACAAGTTAACCTAAGTTGGGACAACCTGGGATGATAATCCAACACTCCACCGGAACATCTAATCGTTATATCTACAGTTTTAATTCATATTTGTGTGTGAAAACAGGTGTAAATAAAGAGTCCAGCATGGGTTTAAATACCAGCACTGGTCACTTAAAAAAAAAAAAAAAGAAAAAAAAGACCGTCACGATTCTGAAATAATTCCCAGTTTTCTGGTGATTACTTGGAACACAGAAAATTATTTTAAAAGCGTTACACTAAAATGTAATTTTCCAACAAATTAAACCAAAAACGTCCCTCCTACTGAACTGAATGCTCATATATGTGGGATCAGTCCCGTCATGATTTAAAGAGGTGGTAACAGCCCACTGAGGTGGATGACGGCACAGAGGAACAACATACATGGGAGCAATAACAACTGATAACAGCAGTTTAATGAGCTGACAGCTACGAACTGTACTCTGCTTTGTGATCGATTAAATTATATGCAGCCTGGGTGGTCCGGGGCACCTGAACCGCTGCTGGCTTTGTTCAGTTTTGGGCTCAGTTTAGAGTTCGAACTTATTCTATATATGTGACTGCGTCTCGGAGGTTAATAGCACCGATAGAGGATAGAACTTAGAGCCCCTTGTAGGAACCAAGGAACATTTGTTTATTGGGGCAGTGAGTGTAGTCCCGAAGGATGCAACAAAGACAGACAAAACTTTATCTGCTTCCTAAAACATCCTGAAATAAAAAAAAAAGGACCAGAATTCCTGCTACTGTGGAGGCTGACGTTCTTAGTGTGATACCTTTATGTCTTTGTCTTGTCAAACGTACCTTTGAGGAAAACGGTCTAAAACTTTTTTGCTGTTTCATCTGCTGTCAGTCTAATTAACTTAATTTCCACTGTTCTCAAAGTGTATTGGAAATGCAAACAGGGATGTGCAAAAATGACCTTATATTTTCTATGTTTTGTTTGAACTCCTTAAAGAGGAACTTTTTAAGGGAAGGAGCTGAGCACACTGAGTCTACTTTGGAGACAAGAGACAACTAGCAGCTATATATATGAGCCAAAAAAGCAAACAAAGGTGGTGCTTTTTAATGCATTGTAAGTCTAATGATCTAAACTTAACAGCCTCTGAGATGTTCTGAAACAGGAATGTTTCAGGGACTTTAGGTCTGAAAAGTCCAACATAGGACTCAGTTGTGAAAACTTGCTTCATTTTGGTTCAAAGACAAGTTTGAATGACACCAATGTTCATGAAACCGGAAGAATAACAACAGACACGACAATAACTGGATCATTTATCTCCACAGCAGACACACAAATGAAGCTTCATTTAGCCGTATTTAAGAGGTATCTATTCATCAAAATAACACCTCCAGCTTAATATTACCTTTGGCTTTTTTATGTAAGAGAAACTGTGAGTCACTGATAAAAAGACATACAGGCTGGATAGCAAACACTCTCACTGACAACCGAGTCTTGGTTTCTCCAAAGGTTTAGATTTGACACGTCCCTCCCATCAAGCGCCGAAGTAATAATGACAGAAACTCTTGTAGCTTGTTAAATTCTACTATACAGCTGATGTCTGGCGATGTGTTTTTATGGAAATGAAACAAAGTGAGCTTGAATTAGCATATGCAGGCGATATGCAAAAAAAAAAAAAAACGAAAAAAACCCACAGATGGTCTGCATATAATTAAACTTTATAAGGAGACGTGTTTGCAACATTCTGAGTGGGACGGAGGTTTGCTCTCGCAGCGGCGTGGATGTAAGTGGAGAGTCGATGATTTAACTCAAAGCTCGGAGCGGCATTAGCGGCGACAAAACAGCTGATTAAGCTGCTGAAGCTGATCTGTGGGCCTGTTGTTGGGCTTGTTAGTTCCTCTCCGTTTGAGTTTGTGCGAGCCTCATTCAGCATCTTTCTGTGAAAACAGAAGGCTTAGGCAACCATAGCTCTTAGATCCAATAACAGAAACCCCCTTTTGAGTAGATTCAATAAATCCAAATCAACCGCTAGTTTGGTGAGCTTACGTCTTGCATTTAAAGGCGTTTGACAACAACTTTAACACCTTTTGTCCATTTGCCAGCATGAATTTGATTTGTTTAGATGTTAAGGGCACTTGAGGTCAAAGCTTTATGATTAATGAAGCGATCAGCTGCTTCAGTGAGCATCGGGGCACCTTCAAGAGGGCTGTGATTTGGATAATTGAGCATAATTGCTAATGTCTACATACTGTGCATCTGTATGGGCTTTTCAAGTGTACACATATGGCTTTCCTGTGTCTGTACGTGCTCTGAGCAGCTCGATCAAAGTCCCAGTCTGTGTCACGTCTCCTGCAACAGTGTGTGCCGTCTTTGTTCTCTGCTTTTGAAGTGAAGCTGTGCTCATCTGGGACAGACGTGCAGCTTCGGATATCAAGCCTCCCCCTTTTTTCCAACCCTCCTATTCCTTTCCCCCAGTTGCTCCTCGCTCTTTGTGCTCATCTTTTTGAGTTTAGGTTGTTTGTTCAGTGATATATGTATGCCGGCTATGACAGCTCAACACACCGAGAACTAAAAAAACACATGGAAATTAAGAAAACATCCTCAGCAGTTTGACAAAAACAGAAGCAGCATGAAGAAAACTAATACCACCCCCTTGCAGTTGTCTGAATCTGCAAACCAGTCGAGCTGAAGTTTATGTCCATGTCAGTCCAGACTCATAAAAGTTGCAGTAAAGACTTTGAAGTGTCTAAGTTCATTCAGCAGAGTCACATTCCTTGTATGTGTTTGCATTCTTGTCCAACATAAGCAGCAGACTGAGCTTCAGAAATGTATGTGGCTGCAAAAATCCTGCTAAGACGCTTCGCACATGTCTTCAATCCACCAACACAGAAGATCACAACAGTCTCAAAGAAAGCATCCAAAAGTCAGCATCCGACCAAATATGAAATATGATCGCAATCGCCACCTTTGATCCTGAGGAATGTTGTTGAATAACGGCCAAAAAAAGGTGTTTTTGCAGAATACTATGATGCAAGAGTGAAGAGCTTCATCACTTTATCCTCTTAGACATTCATATGACTTGGTCTCATATGACCCTTCGCCTCTGAAGTCTCCAGTTCATCCTCCAGTTCATCCTCCAGTTCATCCTCCAGTTCATCCTCCAGTTCATCCTCCAGTTCATCCTCCAGTTCATCCTCCAGTCCAAGTGAACGTGCTAAGTTTGCATTCAAGCTCTCGCATTCACAAGAACTGGAAGACTGGACAACACGAGAACATTACAGGACTGTCTTTGGCGAGGAGGCATAAAAATGCAGAACATGACGCACTGCAGATGCAAATGAAGTCAAACAAACAACAAACTTGCACGTTAGCTCATTTTCAAACATCACTGACGGATGATCGACTCCAGTAACTTCATGAGTCACAAACTGTTGCAGCAATCAGGACGTCACGGCGGTTTTCATCACATTTCCATCGTAGACCGGGATAATTAGAACTCATTTATGTCGGTCTTTGTTGTGTTTTCTGTATTTGCAGCATTTTCTTCTTAACGCCGATCCTACGTCTGATTCTGAATTCATGTTGCTTGTGCATGAGCGTTTACTTTCTATGTTTCCATTTTGGCTAAAGAAGAACTTTTACTTTACAAATTTATAGTTAGCACAATAACGTGCTACTAATACGTCCATGCCAATGTTTGTGAAGTAAACTAGCTGCCTGTCACTTTATCTGTGCTGATTCTTACACTTTTTATCTACAGATAAACAGAAAAAAACAAGCAGCTGCTGAGAGATTTTGGGTGTTTCGGGAGTTTTTAGGGGTTAATTTAACAGATAAACACAGTTTGGAGATCCAAAACAGCCTCTGATTTCATGTTTCTTACAATTATTTCTCTCATCTTTTCCAAATTCTTGTCTGTCCTGGCCTTTTTTCATCTCCTTCTACTTTCTCTCACTTGTAATCTTGCCTCTTGCTTTGACTGATTCTTATCATCGTCCCCACAGAGCAACCAGATACTCCACCAGAGAGCCGCCTTCCTCCCTTCATCTGTTCCTCCCTCAGCTCCTGGGAGAGGTCGAGGCCTCCACACACACACACGCACACACCTACACACACACACACACACACACACACACCGGCTGTGTACCGGCTGATTGGTCGGACGACTTCTGCTTCATGCACATTAATGCAAATACATCTGAAAATGCTGTTTGCGTGCTGAACATACACATTAACATTACAAACATGTTTTAACCTCTTCTGCCCGACACTTGAGCCCTGAGACCCCACCGTCCACACACGCCCTGGAGTATCTAACATCTGTCCCACAAACTCAAAAGCAGGTAAACAGGCACATATGTTTCTAACTGGCGGGTGAATGTGACAGAATGGCTTCTTTCAAGGGCAAAACAATTTGTTTCGGTGCTGGGAAACAGAATGACGGTGCATCCTGACGCGGCGAGTATCGACTTGTGGTGGCAGCCAGCGTGAAAAACAAAAGGCGCTGTTGTGTAGATGTGTATTAACAGCATCAGCAACATACTGTAAATGTGTGGTGCAATCAAAAAGTCCTGACACCGTTCATGGTGCATCTACAGAGTGCGTCATGGTCACACACGCAGCATGTGGCAGCTGTCACAAGACTGTGTGGCGCTGCGCTGTGCAACAGTTGAAGCTGTGTTGTACATGAGCTACTCCACGTCAAATCATCACCGTTTTAGAGCAACTTGTGCTTCACCACCTCCGATTTGCCTGAAAACTTTACAGCATAAAATATTTACATTTAATGAAATTTTAGTTTGATGCATCAAATGCTTTTTGAACTAAAACGTCCATCGACCCACTTGCAGGACATCTGATCACATGGAAATATGAGGCTATGTTTGAAATATCAATTTTCACTGTTACATCTCGTCACGTTGTTGAAATAGAATCTGCAGTATTGGACAAGCAGACTAAACAAACTCCAATAAACAAATCATGCAACTCTGTGGTTCTGCATTTTCAATTTCTTTTGTTAATATGAGGTCAAAGTTGTGTCTAATTTATCATATTTCAACTCATCCGTACTCAGAGACTGTTTAATCTACTTGTTCAAGTTTGTGTTTATTGCGGACTCTGAATCAATGACAAGATGAAAACAAACAGTAAAAATTTCAGGCTTTTATCTTTAATAGTTTGTGAGATATTATTATTCAAACATAGCCTCAAGTTTCAACGTGTGAACGCAGGTCAACAAAAAAGTTTATCTCACAAGAACTTAATATATTAAGCTAAAATTTCACAGTTGCTATTTAAAATATCTGTAGTTTATGACATAAAACTTTAAAGAAAATCAGAGATCGTCAAGTAGAAGACTCCTGATGAGTTGAGATGGAGTAACCCACGTGTGACCAGTGGAAGCTGCATGTTTGTTTTCTCTCCGTGGAGCCGACGCTGAAGCAGAGAGCAAACGTCCCATTCTGTGTCAGGCAGAAGCCACGATGACCAACCTTCATCATTCCTGGTGATTAGAGGTGGTTCTGCAGCTATCGCTCAGAGAAGAGCTGCACAGTGGAAGAGTTGCAGTCTGTCTCCAGAACTGAACAAAGTGCATCAGATCGGGAGCACCAGGAACATGTTTGTTGTTTTCTTCAGCTTTCATGTGACTGTGCATCAGAAGTTGTCCCCCAGAGTTGGACTTTCAAGGCCGAGTTCTACTTCAATGTTCTGAGGTGTCCCAGGTAGAACATTTGGCAAAAACGACACGAGCTGTGGCCCGGTGGCCGGTGCTCCTGCTGTGCTGTGTGCTCGGTCACAGCATGGTGCAAACACAACAACACAATACTCGCCTCCCACCTGCCCCGCTCACTACATTTGGCTCCCTGTGGCTTCTTTCTTTTTCCCAAAATTTAACTGAGGTTGAAGGAGCATTGTTTTGATGCAGTCTGGAAGATTCAGAGCTCACTGCAGATTATATATGACATGTCTACATAACAGGACGTCCAGCTGGGAGTGCTGCATTGTTACACAAGCAGACTGCTTAGAATTCGATGGTTCCCAAATTTAAATCAGGTTTTTTGAATTTTTTGATCGTGTAGTCGGATAGATAAAACACACAAGAAATAACCTGAAGATGCGTCACAGACAACAGTCAAGGAAAGATGGGGATCAGTTGGGTTTGGCTGGGCAGGAGGTATCACCATTTAAACTTTTATTATCAACCTTGTTTTCATGTTTGTCTTAAGCATGTGTTGATAAAGTGACAACTGACATATTTACCACATTTTTTCCAAGTAGTGCTGCTTTCTATATTTACTATCAACTCTGAAAACACGCTGAATGATTCTAGTGAAGAGAAATGGTGCCGGCAGAGGGTCACAAAGTCCTATAATTCCTTCATGGGCCACTTTACAGTTTGGCTGATGGAACATTAGATGATGAGGATTCACTGGTTTTCATCACCATCTGTGTGATGCCACCGAGCGGTTCTGTGGTTACGCAGTCTTGAAAAAAAGACACCACTGCAAAACTATAAACCTTCACTAAAACGTACAGTAATTAGTGCTCTGGTTTTAGACGCAACGTTTGGCTTTAAGATGTCGAAGGAAAGACTGGGATGCGTAGATGTTATATTTATTGTCCACTCTTGTGCTTTTTTGAATTGTGTTCCATTATTTTTACATAAAAGGTGGAAAACGCAGTCACAGGCTGGTTCTGCTTGAGTTACTTGGAGTTCCTGATGTAAAGCATCAGTTTCTGTCATTCAGCTTCATGTCTGTATGTCGTTCACTATGTTTTGTGAAAGCTGAGCAGTATTTTCAACCAAGAACAACTCTGCCAAAGCCAGAAACCACAGGAGTCTCCCCGCTTTAAAGTCGGCTACGGTGTAATATGAGGATATTAAAAGATAATATGCTGTTAAGTTTTCCGGTGTAATCGGATCCACATGTTCTGCTTCTTGCTGTTTATGATAATGCCGTAAATGTAAGGATCTACTCTATTTCCATATTGAAGGCTTGCTGGTCACTTTATGATCAAAACACCATGTATGATGGAAGATTAATAAATCTCAGGGTGTTAAATGAGACTCACCGTCCAGCTCACAGCCCAGCAGTTCCAGACGGAGGCCCAAGCCTTCATTGGTGGCTCTTTCTGGGTAGATCCGGACGAAGCGGGTCAGTAGTGGACCCATGGATTTCAGTTCTGGGGTGTCATGATTCAGATTCCCGATGAACATCTGACGGAAAAGCAAAAACAAACATGTCAGAACCTAAATTTACTTTACCTTCAGTCTAACAGTTTAACTATCAGATTTCAACACTTGTGTGTAAATAACTAAAGGTGCAAAACACACTTTCTGATCCAACCTGGTGCAGCTTTTTACCTCAGGTGCATTTTAAGCAGCTCAGTATACCCACAAATAGAGTATTTTCAAAATGCCAGCAACTGTCATGAACATACAAAGTTCAAAGACCTTCTAAAGTGAGTTAGAATGATGCATGAAATGAAATAATGATGAAACTCAGAGAGAGTTAAAAAAAAAAGCATCTGTCATCTATATTTGATTCAACAGAAGGAATTCTGCGGAAAAATTCAAGTTGACTTTACAGATCAGATCGCATCAACAGGTAAATAATAAATCACACGGCAGCTGGCAAATCTAACGACTCTTTCCAGCTATTTTTAAAACTGTGCAGCCGTCGTCGCTCGGCAAAGCCCCTTCCACAGCGCCCGACAGGCACCAAACAAACAAGTGTGTACTGTTTCTGATCAGGCGTCAGTCTGTTTGATAAGAAGCTGAAACAAAATGAAAGAAGGAAAGCCAGGAAATCAGAACCAGAGGCCATCCTTTCATATGTCCAACATGGAAGCAGCACAGATGAAAACGGTTACAGTCACACTGGGAGCCAAGCGGCGGGAAACCAAACACAAAACGCTGTCCTGCCTGTCTGAACTGCTGAGGTTTACTTATGCTCCATTTATTAAAGGCTGCAGTGTGGCACTATGGATGGAGCTATGACGTGAGCACGTGTTGGAAAAAGCTGAAAGATTTTTAGTTTCAATTTTAAGACTGTGTGTGTGATTTAAAAAGAAGACATCTACAGTCCCATTCAGCAGATTAGTCAAAGTCCTGCATGTCTTCACAGCTCAAAATCCTGACTAGATTGTTCATGTCACATTACACAGCACCTGGGTTGAATTCTAACCAGCTCGTAAAGCTGAGAGGCTAACTAGAGGAATGGCAGAAGTAAACACATTTACATCTTAACAGCTTTTATTTCATGTCTCCCAGTTTACGACAACAACAAATAACAATAAAAATGGATTTTCACCATATGGGACCTTTAAAATTGCTCTATGGGTGAATGCTAACACTTTAGCATGCTCGATATTGACTGAACGGGATTAAATGTAAAACTGTAGAAGCTCTTAAGATCCAAAACTAGCAAAAAATTGGCAAAAAATGTACGATAGAAATCAATGTGTTGTATTTAAGAAGGACCAGTTACAGAAAAAAATGCACAGACGAGGAAGTCAGTGCAGCTGAAAACGAAGCCGTTCTATGACTCAGTGCTGGAAGCCTACAGGACGAACAACTCAAGCGTTTAGCTGTTGCATTATTTATGCTGCAGTGTACCGTTTTCAGGATAATTGTCTTTTGGGCTCATTTGAAAATCTCAGCTTTATGATTTATGGGGTTTTATTCACTTGTAGGAGCTTTTTTGAACATATGAAATAAATTCAACAAATGCAGATTAGCTTAGCAAGCTAAGTCTTTTTGATTAAACTGATTATTTTTCCTGTTGATCAATGAATATTAGTGCTGAAAAATAGAAAACAGTGTGTACTAATGTTTACTTTGAGGTTCAGTACTTTGCTAGTGATCTTTGTCAATACCATAGAACAAGCAAAGCACTTGTTTTCTGTTGTTCTATTTGGTTTATTTTATGATTCCATGATTTTCAAAGCTTTTGTACTTATTTCTAACAGTTTTCTTTTGGGAAAAATTTTTGTAGTTAGGTGTTAAATATACTGAAAACACAGACACTATTCAACTGATACACTTGCAGTTCATTATATGATAATGTGTGATAATGTATGTTATCATCATGATGACATAGCGATGCATGGCAGGTCGGCTGAACATGCACACATGATACATTTACTGACAGCGAGGCACAAGACTCAGAATACATCAAGACTAATCCTTCCCATAATTAATGAATATTACTTTGAATGTTACTTTTATTTCAAGGAAATTCCCTTTTTTAATTTTAACTTGCACCACTTTTTTCTTGGAAATTTCTACTAATGTATTTTATATATATTTGGCTCTTCAGTTACTGTGCATCAGCTTTGAGATTTATCAAATTACAGGACCATTACAAGTTACGACTCCTTCTAAGTGCGATACCCTAATTCTTACTCAACATAATCTATAATGCAAGTATACTATGGCCAGTATTTATCTTCCAGGGTTGGTGTTTTTGCTTATGTAGGACAACCACCACTGCGTCTGCTCTCATCTTTATGCATGAGCATGTAATGTATGTACAGTGTCCCGGTGTATCTGAACACATGCAGCAGCTCGGGCCTCACCGAGCCTTCCTGCCTTGTCTTTTGAAGAGGTTTTATAAAAAGACACAGGAAACAGAGCAGAGAGGAGGCACGGAGGAGCATCTAGATGGCCGTCTGCAGTAAATCAGCAGGAGTCTGACGGCCAAAACCGTCCTCCGCCTCGCCATCTGGAAGGCATAGAGGAGGATGTCGCACCAACGGGGCCAGCCGAGGAGGGGAAGTGGGGTCTTAAGAGCAATGACATGAATTTCCTCTCACGGATCGGCATTGAAGTTAACGCTTAAAGACACAGACTGTTGAGTTGTGATGCTTCCAGAGCTGAATTTATAAAAAACTGATGCTCGTTGTGTTTCCTTCTTTAGGATTTTGTATATATATATAAAAGTGGTAAAAATGGTCTCAGTGCTTCCAGCTTTAGTTTTTTTTTTTGTTGTACGAAAGGGATTAAATCAAAATGTTATTGTACATATAATAATAACGGTCCAGCAAAAACCCTGTTTATATTTAAAGTCTATCAACTAATTTAACCCTCGAGACTCATCTCTGTGCATCAAAGTTAAATACTTAGAAGTTTTTCCATTAAAATAATCCTTTCATGACTTAGAATAGTTTTATAGTTTTAATAGTTTTCACCAGCTCACCTACAGCCCTGCTAAACTACTGTATGCTACAAAATGACCACCTGCAATCCTGGAGTAATTCAACCATATATGTTTGATCTATAAAGAAATTCTGAAGAAGAATAATGATACAGAAAGTCCCACATCACAAGTCGAGGGGCTGAGTTTCTAACGTTTGTTGTGTGTGAAACTGCAAAGGTCTGAATCTGTGTTTCAGACGCTGTAATAAGAAGGATGCAGCTTTTCTTGCTCGTATACATAAAGGGCAAGTGGCGCAATGGATAACGCATCTGATTATGGATCAGAAGATTCTTGGTTTGACTCCTTGCTAGCTGGAAACAACTTCAGCTCATCAAGTCTGCATCATTTCCACTATTCTGTCTACATTCCTTGTGTATCCCTGAAATGAGCTGCATAATAAGTTGCTGTCCTTTCAACATGAACCTCCCCGCTACAGTCTGTCGTGTTAGTCTCTACCTTTGATAGTTTCATAGGTAGAGAAGAGGACTGTAGCGGTTACAGAGAAATCCTTTGGCTACTGGTTCAAATTTGTCTTGAAAGAGAAGTTCATGGGTCAGTGGAGGCTAAATGGTTGAAGCTCCTGGATAGTTGATCAAAAGGTTGGAGGTCCAAGCCTGAATGCCACCAAGCTGCTACTGCTGGGTCCTGAAGCAAGTTCCTATCTCCTCCAGGGGTTCCTTATCATGTCTGACTGTGTTCTGACCTAAACTTCTCACCAAAAAATGTGCTGTAATGTATTTGTGACATATAAAGTCTTCCTCAAACCACCATATGAGCATGTTAACAGGGTAAAAAAAAAAAAAAGATTTTACTACTGATGGTCTTTTAGGAAAACATTAACCTGAAAAACGTCTACGTATTCATGTTTCTACAGCTGGACTACATCACAGATCCAGGACTACATTCAAAGCCTAAAATTCAGCTACAGACTTGTGCTATTACACTTTTTTTTTTTAGCACTTTTGTGGTACCATTATATCAAAATATTGTTAGGGTGGCGATCAATAAGAGAATCATTAAGGTATGAACTCTAACACTTGCACCAGCATCGTCTAAGCAGCTCCTCTGCTGGAGGTAATGACACCATGAGGGGCTCCTGATATACAGTGAAGGGACAAACTTGGGGAAATGAGCCAATACAAGTTAAATAACAAAAGAGCACTAACTCTGCCAGACTTCTCCGTGCCACTAAATCCTGCTGACTAGTTTAAACTCACTACTTCACCTGTTTATTTCCACAAACTTCTCTGCTGTGTGCAAACATGGAAACCACAGCTCCTCTAATCTTTTTCATCTCTCGTCTGCCTTCTTCTACTCTGCATTTATTTGCCATATTGTAATATTATTTGCTCCCTCAACAGCCCAATATCCCAAGTTTTTGCTGAGTACTTCAGACAAAGCGCCCAACAAGCGGCACACCACCACGCAGAGCTCTTATGAATAGCAGCCTGTAATTTAGGTGCTTGGCATTTCATTCCAGAAGCGACGTTGCGGCCAGCAGAGCGTCTGTCTGATGGCTTTTTTTTTTTTTTTTTAGAATTACAGATTACTGTAGGAGGAGGTTTATTTCATGTCAACAACCTTTAATCTGGCTTTCTTCTAATTTGCGGCCCTGCCTCACAATGCTGCCACTGACCGAGGCGGAGAGCAGGAGTAGAAACAGGAGGGGAGTGGGATGAAAAAGTACCAGCAGTTCACTGATGGTAGTCTTTTTACAGAAACCTTTCTCATCCTATAAATCTTTTATATGCATTCTTTGTGTTCTTGTAAATAAATCTGCCTCTTGAGAAGCTACATTACAGATAAAAAGGGACAAACAGCTTGTTGCTGTGTGGTTGGGTGTCATATCACAGCCTATAAATATGCACAACAATGACAAACCCTTACAGCAGTTAAACACAGGCTGGATTTACATCATGTATACACATGTTCTCTGTCTGAAACACTGTGTAAGTGAACCAACCTTGGGTCGGGTGGTGTTCTCCTCCTTCACAATGGTCCACTCCTCTCCGTCCAGGCTGTGTCCCACCTTAAACCTCTTCATGAAGACGTTCCTGTCGCGATGTTTCCCTCCCTGGATCACCACACCGCTCACCATCTTGTCCTGGCCCAGATCCACCTGCCAACAGGTTCACGTTAAAGGTACAGTATTATCAGAGGGTTGTACTGCATTTGATTTAGCCGAACCCCAGGCAGGAGAGGTCAAAGATAAAGGAGTAGTTCCTAGTCTTGACCCCTGCAAGGTCACCAAACAAATCAAAAGGGATCTCAGCGTGTTTTTAAAAAAAGAAAAACAATACTCTGCTGGTCAAATTTAAATTCTATTTCTCTAATCCTGCCAAATGCGACCTAGTTTGATCTCTTCTTGTATCTGCTCTCTTAGAATCAGGAGAGCCTCGAGACACTCTTGGATATTCAAGGAACCAGCTTGTTTGGAGGCTCCTGGAACAGTATTACATGTAATTGTGTGCAGTATTTCAACATATTTAATATCATCAGCGAAGGTTATTTTATGATAGAATAATCACACGGCTGACAGAACTACAACGCTTTACTTTAGTCTAAAACCATTTTAAAAACCTGAACATACAGAATCGGTACATTTTCAGTGTTGTTATCTCTTACACTTAAAAAAAAAACTATCAGAGAAACTATTGTAGGCTACAGTTTTTCAGCAGTAGATTATGGGGCTCTTTTAAGCAATGCTGAATATAGTTATGCAAGTTTCTAAGATTTTTTGTATTTGGGCAACTTAGGATCTTGTCTGACAAAATGACTCTCAACACGAATGCCAAGTCCTCTATTTACCTAAATGTAAAAAGGAGTTCATTTTAAATTCTATTTAGTAACATCTACAATACTGTCTAACATTTTTTTTCTCTTGTTTGGAAGTTAAAAACAACAGAATCATAATAACGGAGCCTCAAACACTTTTCTAAGGAGTTTCTCAAGTGACCACTTTGAACCCCAAAAATGCTCCTCAAGGATCTTGAGGAATGTAGTTATTCAAGAATTCAAGTCAATCTGAGTGGTAATGACAAGAAATAAAATGGTACAACAAAGAAATCATTAAAATGCCCGTAGCTCACAGAGATGATGATCTTGTGATGAGATGTTAGAAGCACTTTTTGCTTCATTTCAAAAGGTTACCTGCCAAAAACGCTGAGAAGAACTGCTGATGACACCATTATTTCAGTTAAATAAATAGCTTCTTTAAGAAGAATTGTAATAAGATAAGAGAATTAAATTGAACCCCACATACTGTAAACAAAAGCTAGACACATAACCTGGGATGTCAGTTCAAGGTCTTGCTCCAGGACTTTTCACTAGCGTAGATGTTTGCTGACATTGGTTTTGACCCCCCAAATCTGGAGCCATCTGTTAAACCGCTAAACTCACCGGTCCTCATCATTAAACTATGACAGTTGCGTAGTGAAACCCACCTGTAGCCACTCGTTTCTGAAGGGCTGCTTGGTCTGCTGCCCGGTCCAGCCCGACCTCCCCGTCAACAGTCGGGCGTTCTCGGCCACCCAGCCGCGGTCGGCGTAAGACGAGGCGCTGATCTGAGCATCTGAGATCTGGCCTGACACCATCCCCAACATCCCTGAACACCGGTAGTCTGTATGGTGAGAGGAGGCCGAGGAGAGAGAGAGAGAGAGTGGGTATTAAACTTTTGAAAGGCGTACAGTATGATAAGAAATGCCACTGCCGTCATTATCTTCCCACTGCTCTAGTCAGCGGTTTTAGCTGATGCCCTGTGGGTGCTGCTGCAGTGTTTAAACCAAAGAGTAAAAATACCAAAGACTCATCTATAATCTCTCTGAGTTTGTTTGAGTTTGAACAAGGAGTGATGAAGCTTTTTTGTGTGTACCAGACTGTGCAACGGTTTTAGGCCTCAAGAGCAAATTGAGGATACAGCACCAGTTCTCCTCAGTATACTCGTGCACAGTTTTTCATGGTGCTTGGCAGCTGAGTTGTTCCAAGCATCTTTTGTGGATTAAATCTGTCTCGGTAGTCCTTTTATGTAACCCCAGACTGACTCCATGATGTTGAGATCGGGACTCGGTGGGAGCGAAGCCATCTGTTGCAGGATTCCTTGTGACTGAAGACAGATATTTATGACTCTGACTGTACTTTTGGGGTTGATGTCATGCAACGAACCAGTAAGATGGGTTTTGCATGATGACCAGCAATCAAAATATCTAAAAACAGAACTTTTGTGTTGGATATGCAGCTTCTATGAGGCCACACGACTGAAAACTAAGCTTGTGTTTTCCTGGTAATTCTGCTGTTCTGACTGCTGTTATCAATATAACCTCGAGCACTGATGTGACTGCTGTTATTACTACCAGCAGTGTTTCCTATTGCTCTACCGGCCACGTCAAAATGATAATAATAATAATAGTATTACAACTAGTGCTTCTGCTGCTACTGTAGGGCTGGATGTACTCCAAAACCTACACGAGCACAGAAATGGATTGTCAGCATGTACAGAATGAACATGTGTGTGTTTCCTGTGTGTTGTCGAGGAAGGATAATATGATTTATGCTTTTGTACCATAAACTATCTCAACTACTGTCATGACTGTACGACTGCGTCTATGGTTGTAAAACCAGGTTCAGGCCAACAATAGCACTAATTAAAAAAATGCAGCATTTGTTGTCAGTTCTCAGCGCTAAAAGAATCAAAAAACACACAAAGGGTTGCATATATGGGGGTTTGCTGCTTTAGGTATTATCTTAGACTATATATAAAAGATGGATGATGTCACCGACTGATTTGCGGATGACAGTTTTGGAGCCTCAAGTTTGCCATCTCGCCGTCGCCATCTTGAAGACACGATGCACGTCTATCCGGTAACCACCAAGGCAGCCACACACTGAAACATCGCCTGCTTTATCGTCTACTTTCCTCTAATCAGGACCATATTTTACAAAATTAACACCATGATGTATTAAAGAAGGCTTGAAACTAGCAGTTGAGACCATAAATTCTTAGGAAAATGTTTACTGAGCTAATAAATCAAGTGAGAAGTACGGTCATTTTCTTATAGATTTCTATATAATCGGACTTCCATAAATCTCCCCCCGACCATAGCTGTTAGAAAGAATGCACGTATAAGGCTCTTCAGAGGCTAAAAGATGATAAAAGATGACCTCAGAAGTCCAGTTTAAGCAACAGATCCTCGAGTCTGAAGGTTCACTGGACACCAGAGCACTGAACAGAATCTGTCGCAATTATTTTACTTTTCGTCTTGATTTTACCACTCATGGTACAAAAGCGATCTACCAGACTGGCATCTAGATGTTGCTGTGAGTTGAGGTGAAACTTAAAGTCTCTGCATTGGTGCTCCAGACCGGCTCTTTTAAAATGAACAAAAAGGCTGCGTTTTAAGAGCTAAAGATGTTCTGAACAAACCCTGTTTCCAAAATATCGAGGGCTCAGACTCTATATGCTTTCCTCAGACTACACTCAAGTTAAGTCAAGCTGTTCTTATTTATATAACCAAAATGACAAATTTACCTCCAGGGGCTTTTCAGTCTGCGCATCATGCAAAACAGTTTTTAGACCCTGGATTCAGCTGAAGCAGGAAAGAAATGTTTGCTTCTATGAATCTGGAATTTGCATTTTTTGGATGTGCATCTCACATCATCAGAGGTCAAGAGGCAGCCAGCAGCAGCACAGACCTTGGAGTGTGTTGAAGATTCAAAGTCTTGCCTTGTGGGCATTTCGACTCTGACAGACTCATTGACAGCAAAAAAACATGTGACCTTGAGAGTACAATGCAATCTGTTGGACAATCAGGCCAGTCTGCTTTCTCTCATGCTGCTATTTAAAGTGTTGAAGTAGTAGAAAAATATTCTGCAATAATGACTAGATAATTGGGAGACTTGAGCGTTTTTGGAAGACAAAAACTTAATGAAACTCTGTGATACATGGATACAGTGGTCCGGCCACTGTGAGCCAAGTTAAATTCATCATCCACAACAAGCTAAATCTAATATCCGGGCTCAAACAGTCACGGTCTCAGGGCGATATTTGCATTTGACAAATGCTTCCACAGTCATATCAGGCGTTCAACAGCAGCTCCTGGGGATGTAAATTCTTCCACAATGTGAAAATACAGCTACTCAGTGTTCTTTATGGAAACCTCCTACAGGGCTGCCTGTGTGTGTTCGGCTGTTTATGAGAAGCAAATGTCCTCCCAGGGATAGAAAAAGTGGGTTAAATGTGAAAAAGGGAGCTTGTCGTCTGTGAATTTCATCACTTACCTAAATTGCGTGTTTTGGATTAGGAGCTTGGTTGAAGATGGAGTACAGAACTTGGATTAAATGTAGACTAAAAACGAGGATCAAGTTTAAGGTTATGGGTTTTGGAGTGAATGATGTTTCATGTGCAACACACACAGACTTTCCCAGCAGCGTCACTATATCTCCTGAATCACCTGCCCAGCACTGTGCAGCCCGTTCCCCAGTGAGTTAGAGCCTAATATCTGCTTCATGGAGCTCTCCTACTGAGAGCTGCTTGTAGCACATCAAGGACTGAGGTTTGATGTTAGAGGATGAGTAATGAGGCAGCATGATTTTGCTCTGCTCCACTGTAATGAATAACGGTGTCCTTCTATGGGGGTGTGTGCTCGCTTTGGAAGCAGCGATTATTTTAAATCAACAGCAAGCAGCAGGAGGTTCTCATCCGGCAGCCAAAAAGATGTTCGTTTGATTCACGATGTGCGAAGAGTGAGAAAATGTTCAAGGGAGAGCGCAAAAGCAGGTAAAACTTCACTAATCTCCTCAAGAGTTAAGAGGCATTTCGAACATTTCGCTGCAGCCCAGGTTTAGGGAAATAGTTTTCCTTTTGTGAAATGAAAAATGTTAAATAAAGTTGATTTTGTGTAATAAAAAGGGTTCGTGTTTGCAGAGTTTACTGAACATGAAAGGCAAATGCGAGCTGGCAAACCCTGAGCCTCTGCAGTGGTCACATGCTTGATGTACGACATCAGAAAAGAGAGAAATCAAATGAGTGTGAGCAAATGCCTACACTGCATGTGTGTGTGTCTGATTAGAAAAAAATTAGATTACATTAGACTTCAATGATGCCTATGGGGACGGGGAAAGTTAATTAAGAAGAAAATAAATGAATGGAATGCGGAAAAACATGGATTCCAGCACTAACAGGATGTGCCAGAGTAATTGCAAAGCATAAATCAATGCATCAGGAGTTCAGGCTGGGAGTGTGGTTTCCCATCAGTACGTGCCAGTTTGTGTACTGTGTGTGTGTGTTTGCAGAAGCTACCTGATGTTCTGCAGCCGTAGATCTCAAAGCGCATACAGATGCCCTGTTCCCAGGACATGGGGCGGATACGAATGTACCGAGCCAGAGTCTGTTTGGGGAGGAAGGCGCGGACTTCGTCTGTTGGGTTGTGGTTCCCCTGAAAGATCTGAAAATAAAAAGAAAAACCGATAAGAGCTGCCGGTGCTTTGTCATTCCTACTGTTACTGGTACAACTGTTAATAACTGCTACTTGCACCACGACTTCTGCTCGTACTGCTTCTACTGTGGCAACAAAAACAACTTTCATCACTGGTGATGCTGAAGCTATCGCCTATATTCCTGCTAATACTGCTGCTGATAGTACAGCAGCAACCATTACTGTCTCTGCTACTGTAAGCACTGCTTCTACTGCCGCAAGACACTATTAATATGACTGCTGAAACAGAATGGTGCATTGATTCTACATGCATAGCTGCACCAGCCACAGCCAAATTTGTTGCAGCATATGACGACAAAGACCTTTATGCACTGAGCCTTCAGTGTGTTTTTTGCATGACTGTAGTCTGCGGTGTATTAATTTAGTGATGAGAATCACTGAAATACAGATTGAATACAGTCGAGTACTTGAGACGGCATCATTTGTTTGATAGCGTTCATACTGTAGCAGCACTTTTATAAACATGCTGGTTAACCGTCTGAACTCCAAAACCTGCTGGCAGGTGTGAAAGACGTTATCGTAAAATAATCACCAAAGAAAGACACCATTCAGAAACAGGAAAAACAGAAAACAGCAGAAAAGCTGTGTGTGACTCTGCTCCAATCAACGGTCAAGTCACCAAAATACTTTACAGGCGACATGGATGAAAACAAATCAAAAACACACGTAGTAAAATATCTATAGAGCTGTTATTTTCTTCAGGATTGGGGACACCTGGGGGCGGATGAAAAAATGTTGTACATGTTGATTCCAGGCTTAACTTTATTATGTAAAATAAACAAAGAAATTTCACTTTCCTCTTTTTTTCTTTTAAATGATTGACGGCGTTATAACTGCGTCATACTGCACACAATATATTTTTGAGTTCTGCATAGGGATTGTTGTACTGTGTCCAAGGAGGGCTTTATATTTATATGTAAGTGAAGAATGAGCCCCACAGTGAGAATGAAATAAAGCAGAAGCAGAAAACCTCCATAAACTGCTTGAAGTTCAGAGGGTTAACGTCAGTCTCTAAAAGTTGCCAGTTTATCTCTGCACCAACTGAGACAATCTCCAGTGCAATAGTGTCCCTTCCAAGAAATTAATTCTGCTCACGCTGAGAGAAGTGGGATGTAAAGCAGACCTTCAGCACACACTTCAGTCAAGGCTCAGCTTAGGCTTGCAGCCAAACGCTGTTAGCCTTGGAAAACATTGATTCAGCCATCCTCCTCGCTGATTAGAATGCAGAGTCCTTCATTACTCGTCGATATTAGGTAGATGAACATTGTTACAGCACAAAATGACTCATCATTACCTTCTGCTTCGAGCCCTCCTTCACGGTCACCCAGTCCTCTCCGTTGGAGCTCAGGTCCACTTTGTACGAGCGGACGTAGTAGTGCTTCTTGGTCTCTTTCGATATGGCCCCCTGAGTCCCGACGGCTGTGACGAACCGGAGAAAGCCCAAGTCCACCTGGAAGCACAAGTAATTAAAAGGACGGGTCAATGGCAAAACTCCAGACGGGACTAAATCGGAGGTAGTGGAGGCAGTCACATGAATTACAAATACAATAGCACAGGACATCACACGCCTACTTAATTGTCACTTTACTACACTGTTTACTGAGTGCACAAAGCTGAGGTGAAGTGTTCTCTTTGGAAAAAGCCTGAAACCTTAAGATGCAGCATACCTGAACAGGGGAACCCTCGGTGTTGTTATGGAGTGTTCAGTTGTACCTTATGCATAGCTGTCTGTCATTTTTGTGTGGTACTGTGCATAAAGGTGATTAACAGTGCTGTGAAAAATCATCAATATAGTCAAAACCAGTGAAGAGTTCATGAGCCAAACCAGACAACTCAATCCTCACAAACCTTCAGGAAACCCACGTTTCCATCGTCTACCTCAGACAATATCAATCAAACTTAAGTTATCTCTATTTTTGTCATTTCTACTGAGTCTAATCCACTCAGCTTCAGTTTGATTGATTTTTATCTCAAACAAACAACAAAACAATATTTTTTCTGAAAATCTACAAAAATGCAGTTATCTGTTTTTGCAAATGAACTCTTCAAATAACTAAATAGTATCTGACTGCGGGGGTATTTCTAAAGTTGAGAGGTTGTACTCAGAGTAGTTCAAGATGACAAAATGGAAAATATGTGATTAAAAAATGTTTCCATGTATTTAGTGAACTGTAACACCGAAGCAGCAACAGTTAGCGGCGAGAAAGCAGCGACAACAGCAACCTGTTAGCTTCAAGTCATATAAAACTGAATTTTGGATAAAAAGTCTAAAATCTTTATGCATTAGCTAAACAATTTTTGAAAAGTAATGAATACATGGTTGAATAAAATGGACATGCCTAAAACAAGCCAAACAGCTGACATTGGTAGCTGACTGAAGAAAAGCCAACAGCTTGGCCCATAAATAGCTAAATGTAAAAGGAAAGTGTGAAAATCGTTAGGTGATGGTGAAAATTATCGAAATAACTGAATAAATTGGCCAAATGTTGTAAATAATGGTGTGAATAGTTAGTTAACAAAACCTTGGGTTCTTATTCTAAAAGTTAGAACAAGAGTTAAAAGTTAAAAACAGTTCACTAAAAGGAATGAAAGAATGATTTTAAGAGCTGAAAGTTTGGAATTAAAGTTTAAATTGTTGTGTAATAGCTCGACAGTTATTGAAAAGTCTATATGAATAAATAGTTAATTAGAACAGACAGACCGAGACAGTTGTGGATAAACGGCTAAAATCAGCAGGTAGCTGCTGCAGACACTAAAGATGATGTACATAGATAAATAATTTGGCCAAATTTATAACCAAAGGCATATAGTTTTAAGATATTTAGGTAATTTGTTGCTGAAATAGTTAGCTATCAAGACCTCAGTTAGCTGAAAGTTAAAATAAAAAAAGTAAAACAGTTAGCTGACAGTAAAAAAAGCTAAATAAACTGACCAAATCTATTGCAATGAATGTTTGAAACGCAAAGCTGATAGACTTTGAAATATATAGCGAGGAGAAAGGAGTAACGTTGTGGTATTTAGTGGTTAAAATATTTCACCATATGAACCTCAGTTAGCTAAAAGTTGAAATTTACGCTGAAGTAAATGGCAGAAAAGTTAATCGCATCAGCAAAGTGGATGTAATACTTTCCTAAAATTGAATGTCTACTGAATGGGATAAAAACAGATTTTTCATGTAGTTTAAAAGTACAGGGTACACCAGAGACAATGAGAAGTTGGAAACAACTGCCCCGAACAATTAAAGAAGTGGATTTTTGAGAGAAAAGCCTCATGGAGACAACAGATGACGTCCCCTCTTACAACAATTACTGTCAAAGAGCACTTAAGCAATGAAATGAAAGGCTGCAGTTCCAAAAGTTGAGTCCTGATCTAACCCCAGTGTGTTCAAGCAGAATGCTGTTGTTGTTTCAGGCACATCTTAAAGTGTCACATTGAGTATCTGCATCAAAAGAAAGCAACTTCTAAAGATGAAAAGATGCATTTTCTGGATTTTTCTTTTTTCATGAACGTTACAAACAAAACACAATTTGAAAGTTAAAGCGTGGCACCAACTTTATTCACTCAGACATCGTCTGCATCAAAAATGCAGACCGTCCTGTGCCATGTTTCACTTGAAGCACACGAGAAACAAGGGCTCAGATCTCATTAATTATACTGTGATCCGTCCATAAGTAGACAGTGAAAAATCAGAGCAGGACGCTGGAGAGATGAGAACCCCCGTCTGTTAACACAGCCCCCCTCTGCCACAGGACCAAGACCTTTACAGAAACATAATGCAGTCGTTATAATCTATATGCTGCAGGTGATGAAGACTAAATCATTATTGAGAATATCCACTTAAACAGGTGAAACGAGGCGCTGACACATCACGTTACTGCACTTATATTACTCGTGTAGTGATTTCTGATTATCAGTTTAATATGAAAAGACATAAATCCGAACATGAACGTTGCTCACAAACAGTTTCTTTTATCATTACTTTCATGTTTTGCGGTTTGATTTGATTAATGTGTGCATGCACTGTGTGTCTGTGCCTCCCTATTATTATCAACAAAGCCGTCTTTCCCTGCAGAGGAACGGAGGGCGACATGTGATTTAGGTCATGCGTTTAATTCAGACGGGTTGAGTCGAGGATTCGCTGAAGTTTAAGTCCTCAGGCTGCTGATCCGACAAGGATGTCCGAGAGTGTGTGGTCTGAGATACTGAAGAGTGTGTGTGACATCATTTACAGCATGTATGTGTGTGTGTGTGTGAACCAGCTCAGCACCAATTTTACGGTTGTCCACCCGCATCACTAATAACTAGTGTGTGACCTGTAGTTTGTGTGTGTGTGTTTGTAGCCCTCGAGGTTAAGAAGCCGTGTCAACGCAGCAGCCGATTTATGAAACTAAATATATAACTGAACCAAAGGAGGAATTTGTAGTCGGGGAGAACGTTGTCCTCACGTTTTAAAATCAGATTTTTGTAACCGTTGCCTCCACACAGCAAAAATTCTGACTTTTGGTCCAAGAAGCGACACAACCCTAAAGGTAAAGACTGTCAGCTTGAGGGGAAATCCTACAAACAGTACTCAGGGCGAAAAAAAACATTCATTTTATATTTTTACTTACAATAAATATCCTAAAAAGACACTTGAATTGATTATGGGCCCAAAATGACAGTAAAGTCCAGTGGTACATGTGGCAAAGACGCAAAGCAACATCATTAAGTTTATACAATATACAGTCGGCTGCACATTGACTAAATGTATTAAATATTCTGTTAATTGCTCAAATTAGCATAAAATTAAATCACATGGGTTAAAGTATTTTCATGATAAAGCACTAACTCCAGCTCTACACAGTTAATACACTCACATTTTAGATTAAATGACTCCTTTTTGATATATTATCCAACATCCTCATCATTTTGTTCTACTTTATTGAGGAAGATTGATTTTTTTTATCTGTGTTTCCAAGTTTAATGCAAAACTTGGTTTGATGACACAGAAGACGTGACGTCAAAGTTTTTGTGAATAATACCAGAGAGAATATTAAAAGTCTTTAATTAAACCTATATGGTAAAAAAAAGAAGTAGTTTTGTAGATGTCAGAAGGCTTATTCTTTCTGTAACACAACAAAATATAATTACCTTCTTCGCTTGGAGCATGAACCTAAAAACTGTCTAGCTCCCATGTGTTCTTTTTATGTTGTGTCCGGAGCCTAGTCTCGTAGTCTGGAGCTGCATATTTCTCACAACAAAAACAAACATGATCAATGAAAACATAAAATACAGACTAAAAAGGAGCACAGCTGCTGCAGCCAAAGCAGGAAGAAAAGCTGGGAAAAAATGTGCAAAGTGTTAATGGGATTAATAATAACACTGCTCCATCATTAAGGCACAAGTAGATCTAATTAGAATCAGGCTACAATTATGTATTTCATTAAACGTGTTGCTTCTATGGAGCCTATTCTTACGGCATGTAGGACGAGTTCAGCCTGATTCTTCTCGCAGCAGATACATTGAACAGCAAGTAAAGCACAAATGTAAAAACATAAATCAAAGCCATGAGTAGGATTACTGCAAATCTTATGAGGTCAACAAGCAGAAGACTTTAGCGCTTTAATCAGTCTCTGTTTTCATGATTATATCACTATAGAAAGGCCTGTAGAGCAATAAAATGGCTTTAAAATTCCTTGCAGGGGGAAAAAATAAAGCGAGTAAGACTGGAGCTCCATCCACTGAAGGAAGTGAGCCGCAACTATAGTCCTGAAAACTCAGAATTAAACCTCAAGTTAACTCGATAACCCCAAATCCTGCTTCATCGTACAGACCTGCCTTCAGTGGCTTCACAGCACACATGAGACGCATTCATTCAACTGATTGCTAATGTAGTTCAAATTAATTTCATCTGATTTAACTAATTCTCTTGGGTGCCTTGGAATAATAGCAGAGCAGCATTTACGTCTTATGCCAATGATTTATAATCAGAGAAAGCCTGACATTTAGCTGGTTTATCCAAAAACACAAACCAGTCATGTAGAAGTTTTTTTTTTTACGATGCACTGATTTTAAGACTTTAACTGGACCTGTACAGCTGTTTACCAAAAGACCAAGTATTTACAAAGACTGGTGCAAAGTCAACACAGCCTGAAGACATGAAGTTTGTAGAAAGGATATAATTCACAACTGGTACAAGCTTTGAACCTGTTGACTTAAACGAAGCCCCACAGAAGTCAAAAGTGCTGTAAAAGTTCACTCCAAATCCATTTACAGTTTTTGTTTTCTGACAGTTAAATTGCTAAAAACTCTTTGTACATGCATGTAAAACACGGTGATTCGCTGTCACAACTTAAATTAAGTCCCATTCGACTGATGCCCGAGGACAGCTTCTCGGTTTGATTGTGCGACTAGACTCACTAAACTTATTGTCTCGTGTCTGATTGAGTTAGAACATCCGGTAGAGTAAAC